ATATTAATACAAAGAGTTCATAAGGTTGGAAAAATTGAAGTTAATTATGTTGGGAAAAAGGAGATATTTTTGATGACATTAATATATTCGAAAAGTCGAAAATGATTATTTTAGTCGTGAACTCTATGAATCATCATAAAGCATCAAGAAAATTAATAAACCAACGTAATTTTACTATGATCATGTTTTATCACTTTCTTGATAATATTCTAGTTGTAACATAAATAATGAAAAAGATAAACATAAAAACACAAAAACATAAAAACACAAAGAAAAAGACTTGTAGCCGCAATAAAATGAATTAAATTTAAATTATTTAAAAGAAAGACAAGGTAATTATTTTAAATATGCTCTTGTTGAAAGAAAAAATTAATTGTAACGAAATGTGAAATGTTCGTTCAAAGTTATCGGAAAAGATAACATCGTCCAACTCATGTACAAAAGTACAACATGAACATATTAACGATATTGTAAAAGAAAGTTTGAAAGCTGCTGCAAGCGTCGCGATGTCAGCAGAGACGTTTTTCAAAAAAGTTTGGAACGAATTTCAAGATAAATTAATGCAAATTTCAAGATAAATTCCTACGCAAAATTATAAATAAAAAGTAATAACTACTTAAATAGTTTTTCAAAAAAAGAGACACTCTTACAAGCTTAGAAAAATTAGCAATTTTGCGAATTTTTTGAAAAACGAAGAACAAAACGAGCTGATGAAAAAGAATTCTTTGATCATGATGCGTGGAAAATGAGAATGTATTAGAAAAAACCTACCTTGCAAATGCTGTAAATGTAACTGTGTCGGCAAACGAAACGAGCACTAGTGTTATCGAAGACAAACATCAAAGTGGCGTAATGATATATAGTAGTATCGTTATCCAATTCACATACAAAAGTGTAGACAAAGCAGGGCTCAAAATGTCAGCGAGAATCAGTAGAAACATTTTTCAGTTCCGTAAATTACCGAGTGAAAGAAAGTAAAAATATTGTTAATAACATAAAAGGAAGTTTGGAAGCTATCACAAATATTATAATATTTGCAAGTGCAATGTCTTCGACTAATATTGAAAACATAAATAAACAAGATTCGAAACTATTGTTGTTCAAATTGTATCTTGAATCACGAGTAGACATATATTTTCTTGGCAAATTGTACAAAATCATAAATATAAGAGTATTGAATGAATATAAGAGAAAAGTAAAAAATATTTATAGAAAAAAATTTCAAGAAAAATATTGCATGTAGATTGACAAGATTAAAAAATAATAATTAAAAATAATAACGTTTTGAGAAATTTTTTATCTTATCTCATATTACATGTAATATTTTTTATATTTGCAGACATATTACATGATTGTTAAACATGATTATTATATTTTTTTAATAAAAATTATATTGATAATTAAAGTAATATCGATAATGTCGATAGATATTAAAGCTCTGATAAGTAGAAGGAGCATTATCTTGAGTAGTACAATATCAACAATTTATTTAATTTAATGACATGTGGTTTATATTGCACCATAAATTTAAATGAAACCTTAAAAAGGTATTATTTATACAACGTATAAAACACATTTTCTACATAAAAATATAATTTCATTAACTTTGTTTTCTTGGAAAAAATATTGCTAAATTAATATTCATGTTGAATCATGAAAAAGTTGTAAAATAAACAAATTTGCAAAATCTTGCGATTACGCTAAGTAATGAAACTGTAAATATGTATACATCAGAAAAAGAGATGACAGAACAGAGAACAACTATACTTAAAAAAAAAGTCTTTCCTCTCTCGTAAATGCCTGATACACTGCAAGCGTAAGAGTAAGGATGACCCCATTCAAGAAAAAGACGTCTGTTTCCACTTCGTGCCTGCGAAGAGCTAGGTAATCGCCGGCGGCTAGTCAAGCGTGTGAAGTAACATTAAAAGCATAGATATGACCTCTTTGAGGAAAAGTGACCACGTACCGACAGCGAACGTTAAAGAGGTCATTACGCCGAAGGCTCAATTATCGTTACGAATGAGCCAAAAGGCGCAGAGAACAGAAGTAATTTACGAGATATGCGCTTATCGATTGACTTAAAGTTTGTATCGTATAGTTACTATGGAACTTCTTTAATGACTCTCTGAACCGAGCAGAACTTTATTGTTGTCGGACCGTTGCCAACACGTATCGAAGTACTACGTTTCTTATGTTACGTACTTATAGTTGAAACGTTTAATCGAGGGATGACATTTCACGGACGATAACTGGCGGTCATTCCGTTTTACGATTTCATAAACTGACCGATAACATCGGTGAGTTTACAATACCGACCACTTGACAAGAATAACTTTCTTTGTATTTTAAAATTAAAACAAAATAAAATTAAAACAAAATAAATTTTATAATGTCATTAAATCTTTTATTAAAGTATTATATCGAAGAGAGAAAATAGTGATTTTTTTCGATGCTTGAAAGAATATTTATGTATTGCTCACAATAATTTATATGCAAATATTTAATTATAGTTTGACTACACACAATCTATGATTTGGCAGATCAAATTTTACCTCGAAATCCGTGAAAGCTTTGTACGTGAGAACCAGGCAACCGCCGAAGAATGTACAGGTGGCTAGATTTCTGGTATCCGTAAAAGACGTAACCAAAGGAACAGATCCCATTTGCCAATCATGGGACAGTATAGCTGGACACAGAAGCAACCAACAATTCAACGCTGCCAAGTAGCAAAAAGTCAATAATCTGAAATCAAGAACAATTATAATTAGATACAATACACACAGTTACATTTAAATTAAAAATAAAACATCTTTGAATATTATATAATTATTAAAATCCTATTCGTTTGATCTCATTAGCTCGAGAAATTATTACACTTCTATTTGACACACTGACGAACGAAATTGTTGCCCCGACGCCTGTCTTTTTCCGAGGAAAATTGGCCGCCCGATTGTCACGACGAAGGCAAGTCCTCGCGACCGGTATTGTCCTCTTGGCACGAGCTGAAGAGATCGGCCAATGGGCCTGGAGTGGTATCCTCCAGTTGCTGACATCGAGGTTCCATTTTCTCACTATCAGCATCTACCGATATAATCACCGATATAATGCCCACCCCCTAGTATCTCCACGGCAAGCGTCTGTGCGATGTTCGACGAGGATATTCTCGGTATATCGTCGCGCTTCTCGGGATGGCTTACTCGGCAAGTCTATTGTCTCGCGAACAAGCTCACGCACACTACGGGCGGCATAACGCGCTGGTAAATATTCGCCCATGCCGTTGTGAGTGTTAATTCTGATGGCTCATAAGTCCCTCTAATTGTTCCCGGCGCCAGATGCAGCGACACCGAGCATCGGCTTTATTCACCGGATAGTCGAAAAGTGAATGAGTAGAAATGGAACGCGAGATATAAGAGATCCTAAAGACCATTCTCTTAATATACACAGTTGCGATACAAAAGCGCGAACTTATCTATGTATAAAGATAAGAGAGGAATATCACAAATTACGATGGAAATACGATGGAAATTTATAACGGTGTATGCTATTGTACATCGCGATCGTTATATATCATCGCGAGTTAAATAAATTTCCCCTGTCCGCCATTTTTGATAACGTATATTCAGCCGGTAATATGACTTTTTAATGTATTCTAATGAATCACTGTTTCCCCTAAATGGTACATCAAAACGTACTGAGAGGCATTAAAATTTAAATATAGAGAGACTCCCTAATTGCTCCCTTGGCGCAAGAAAAATCTACATTCTGCGCAGCGCGATTGTTCTAAATGTTCCGCGATTTAACGATATTTATCTCTTTGTTATTTCATGCCTGAGCACGTATATTGTACTGCTACTTGCTAATTAATATCCATCTCTTGGACAGTCGGGAAGTGAAAAACGCAATGTAACTCGGAAAAAACAAAGGCAATAATGTATCTTGGCTCTGAGCGGCCGTCCTTTTTCTGCATAATTTTTCTTGCCGGCCATCTATATTTTCATTTCGTTGAAATGATTGATGAGAGTTCCTGCATCACGAGTTCGCGAGATACGGGAATAGGAAGCGCAGGAATAAGAGGCGATCTGAAATGTCAAAATAATAATTTGTGGCATATGTCAAGTGCGACGCACGTACTGCCATATGAAAGAGTAGGATTTTCCCGAGAAAACGGTTGCAGAGAGTGACATATTCCCGCACGTCCACTCTTTTTGGAAATCGCGAGTATTACAGAGATTGCTATAAATCTAGGAAGGATATTCTCAGATTTGTGGAATTTCATGGACTTCCAGATTCACCCAAATAAATATCTGCTTTTCAGAGTTAGACTTGCATCGCAGTGCGCCAGATAGTAATAGATAATAGTAATAGTAATAGTAGTAGTAGAAGTAGTAGTAGTAGTAGTAGTAGTAGTAGTAGTAGTAATAGTAGTAGTAGTAGTAGTAGTAGTAGTAGTAATAGTTGGAGACGCTTTTCTATTTTCGTTTGCCAAACATGTAAGAACAATAAATAAATTGTAAACCAGAAAATACATAAAGAAATGACAGAGATGACAAAAAAAATCTATTTCTTATGTCTTATATATTTTGAATTAATTTAATCTCTTTACTTTTCTTTGTAAATTTATGATACATTATTATTATTTTTATATTATTTCTTATTTATTAATGAAAGTATATTAAATTAAAAATTTTTTACATTTTTTACATTTTTAACGCAGGAAAATTAATCAATTGGTTCAATTAAGACCATTTCATTAAGATGGTTCGCGCTAGACATCGTTTCTTGTTGGTCTTACGATCGTTTGTCAAGCCAACGAACTTTAGAAAAAGCTTTCCTTTGAAGCCGTCATTCGCGTAGAAACGCGATGTCATTAGCTTTTAATCGTACCGTTCCATCAATTTACCCTCTCTTTCATTCAGCCGGCCTCTTTTTTCTCTACACCTTCGTGATATGCGGGTATCGATTCTGTCGATGCTCATAAGCGGTAAAGTTTTCCGCCCGTATTCTTACGTTGAAGTATTGTCGGCTTTCAAATTACACGCATTGTGTCAATCATAGCAAATCTATATCTCATACACGAAAGAGAAAGAGAAAAATCAAAGCTGAGATTAATATAGAAATTATTCATAAGCTGCCAGTGGCATTAGATGTACTTGTCATCCTTTATTAACATTCGCCTGGAATGTGTCCGAAGGGAGGATGACAATTTCAAAGCGCTTCGAAACGATCAATCATGGTTGAGAAATTCATGAAACCAGGTGCAAAGTGGAAACTTTAATCGACGCTCGCGTGATAAGTTCTTCGCACCATCGTCCATTCGTTTCGTCATCGCCGGCACGTAAGAATTTTGATCTCCCGTACATGCTTTTGAATTCAGATGAAAGCAATTTCCCTCGATTACCAGCCCGAGGTGTAAGATAGGCCACGATCGATTCGCACGTGTTCCTAAGCATTCACTTGGCGATTTCGAAGCGAGATTTATTGCATGCATAATCACGCAGATTCTAAGCACGCAAACTGGCATCATTTTTCTATGTCAAATTTTTCAGATAGTCACCCCATTTGCATAAATGCAATTTTCAAGCGCGAAGTCATGCATCATGTAATTAAAAATATATGCATGCACCTGTAACAATTTGTTGGTAATGCTTTTCACACTATATCAATTGAAATGTAAAACACTTTAACTGAAATGCAAATACGTATTTTAAAAATAAAACTAAATAACTTTATCACGCGATAAAATACATTTTGTCGATGCGCATTCGTGTTGTACGTTGTATTTCCTTTTAGTCCTCTACAGCTCCTTCTAATATCAAACTCCTGGGACGTAGACTAAATTTAGACGCTCCAGCGGGATAATAAATTATCAATCTTCCTGCGAGACAGCGCATTTTGTTTCGAGACAGCTCGTATTGCGTGAATAATCGTGACGGTCGCTGCGAATCGTTATAACCGAGAGGAATAAATTGCGCGTCTCTGAGCTATGTTACACCGTTTCTATCATAAATTATCCTTTACGCGATCAATAATTTTACGCGTCGCGTTCCTTCCGCGTGTTCTCTCGTTCTTTTTTTCGCAAGAGCGTGACGCTGAATAATCTAATTTTCGGGTTATCTCGTTATTCTCATCAGAGGTATCTCTAAAAAGAGGCGATCGACGATCGCTGTTGCGTACGGAGCGATTGACCGGGAAAACGACGCGATATCGTGAGAAGAGTGACGGTGCGGGAAGAGATCTCTGTAATAGAGGTTTATTGGCAATTAATCTTGCGAGCCGGATGTGCCCGCTTCGTCGGGCACGATACACTTCCGTCTCAGCGAGCGACCGGTAAACCGAGGAGAGATGTATTGCGCCGTTCCACACGGAATCAAACGTACGTCCTCTCCTCTCCTCTTCCTCCCGTCGATGCCGATCCTCCGCTATACGCCGCGCCGTGCGTCTTTGTCAGCCACGTCGGAAGTGTATTGTTCCCCGAGTACCTCCGGGTACTCGCAAGATGCCCATCAAGCGGTGATCGAGCGGGCCAACGTACGTAAGTGACGTTATCTTTTTCGATTTCGCCAAGCTGCGATGTCTAATGTGTTCAACTTGAAGTGCATCCGTTTCATCGCGATGTAACATTAATAAAGTGTGGAGTTGATCGCACGTTACGTTTCATACGTTTATCATAATTATCGTGCTTTCCACGCCCACGTAGAATTATTCAACACACGGGTGGCATCCCGAATTATTCTCCCTCTTCCTCCCCCCCTTCTCTCTCTC